GTAAATTCTAGGTTGCTTTGCACCAACTATATAGATTTTCAATATTTTCATTAAGAAATAACTGCAGGCAATCAAATAATTCATTTCTAGGGAAACGTATACTTGACATCTGATGGTAATGGTATGAAGTAATCTGTAGTGCCATGAAACAAAATAATAGGAGGTAGGACAGAAGCAGCATTTCTAACATTCTGGTCTTGAATCATGCGTTCTGGAGAAAAAAGTTGTAAAGATTGTTCTTCTTCCATTATGTTGTGAGAGGTTTTGAAGTATAAGAGAATATGTATGGTCAACATTTAAGAGGCCAAGAAGCATGTACCCTAAAAAGATTAAATTATATAAATACCTCGACAGTGAAATTGATCCACTAAGTTAATCAAATTGTACCTGTTTGAAATTAGAAAACTCAGAAGCAACAAAAATACATCAGAAGCAATTCGAAGGAAGATAGAAAATCTAGTTGAGAGCAGCTTTATTTGGTGAGAAAACTTCTTGTTTATTTGTAATTGATACTGTCATTTTTGGTGTAAGAGAAAGAAGCATGTACATAAACATAAAAATTGTATTGCTCATCATTTTTTTAATAACATGATATATACGGTGTTGTCATTTTTTGTTAGGGTTTGATTATTGGGTGTGCGTTTATTGATAAACCTTATTTTATGGGAACTGTTATTAGCACTCAAAAAATCTCATTCGACACTCCTCACAAATATATTTTTCTTTCTAATTATAAAAGGTTTAGAATGCTAAATGAGATTTTTGGAGTACTAATAATAATTCCTTATTTTTATTTATTATTCGTATCTTGTACTTGATGGTAATTATGCAATAGGATTATATTGACATTTCATATATAAAATTTAAATTGAGAGCAAAAAGAAGTTATATGGATTTAAGTAAAAAATTTCAAATTCTAATTTGAATACCTCCAGTTAATATTTTTTGTATTATTTTATTTTCATGGATATCAAGGACCGGCAACAGAAGTTAGAATTAACGACCTTTTAACGACTCAAGAAGTTGTTTGACTAAAATATGTTAAAAGAAGTAGAAACCCAGTCGAAATAAAATGTCACCATGCACAACGAAGCATTGTAAGACATGAACATCCGTGCATAAAATGCAGCAAGTCAAAAGTCAATTGACCGACAGAGTCCATATAAAATTCTCCACTTATGGTATTTGAATAAATATGTAAAAGATAAATTATCTATATTTAACTATTGTCGAGGAGTTTTTATCGCTACAAGAAACGTAAATCATTTGGTTCATTACTTTATGCGTTATAATAAAGATGGGTTAAAAAGATAGTATGCCTTACTATAAGTTATATTGAACAAAAACAAAAATTTATGTGTTAACTATGTGTTAACAATACGTAGCCGTGTTACAATATACTTAAAATTACTTGAGTGCACATGATACAAAACCACAGATCTGTAAAAAATTTAAGAATCGAATTTTAAAGTGTCGGTAATCTTAGGCATTATTGGTCTGTAACTTTAATTACCAACACCATTTTTTTTTTTGGAAGCTGGGGAATTCATTACCCGGGCAAAGATGCCAATCAATACAAAGAGAGCCTACACGGAGGCAAGCAAACAACACGGAGGCAAGCAAACAACAAGGAAAAGAAAAACTATGGACAGTAAAGGGATCGCACATCTCCACACACCATTGCGACGCCAACAAGTCCGCCACCATGTTGATTGATCTTGGGATCCAAGACTAGCGACAGTCCTGGAAAGACTCCCCTAACCATTTAGCTTTCACCAGGGAAGGGTAGGCCTCCTATATGCCAATCTCAAAAGAATTTGAAAGAGGGCAAACAGATTCATAGGAATCAAATTCCACAAATACCTTTCGAAGCCCCAAAGCTAAACCAAACTCACAACCTTTAAGGATAGCCTCTGCTTTCGCAGCACCCACACTCGGAGCCCTGATGGCATGCCGGATTGCAGCAACAAAAGAGCCATCGACATCCCGCAAAACAATTCCCACAAACCTGGAGCACGTTGGCTCATACCAACTGGCATCAACATTAATTTTTGTGAACATCGTGGGAGGAAGAGACCACCTGAGCTCACGAACAGCCACTGCTCCATGTTCTAGGAGCACCGAGTTCCTTCTCACAGCTTTGAACAAAGATCCAGCCGAGTTGGAAATAGCACATATGACTTGTGTGGGATTGATTTGACTGTTATTGTACAAAAGATTGCATCTACCTTTCCAAATGTGCCAACAAGTAAAGGTAACATACGAAAGAAGGGCCACTCTATTACCAGTAGGACCGCCATGCACATTTGAGAAAGAGAGTACCCACTCCACCCAGCTCGAAACCTCACTCCTATCAATTTTGAGGTTAAGAGTTCCACCAAACCATATGGGTTCCACCCAGGGGCATAATAACAATAAGTGTTCGATCGATTCATCCTGGTTATAGCATATCGGGCAAGTCGGATTAGGGGTTGAATGCCTTTTGAACAATTCATGCATTGTCGGAAAAAGCCCGGTGGAGGGTTTTCCACATGAAACTTCGGATCTTTGCCGGCGTTTTAAGCCTCCAGATAACCTTCCAAATCTGACTCGGGATAACATTGGATGAAAAGGGACGATAACACCAGGGGGCTTAGTCGAGCTTGCTCCCTGTGGTACTCGGTCTTCACCGAGTACTGCCCATTCTTGGTCTCCGGCCAAATAAGCCTGTCAATACTCGTGTAATCAAACCACATAACAGACAAAATTATATAAAAATGTTTCCACTTTAGATTATTCATGAAGTTAATGATGTCGGATTACTTTGAAGTTATTTATGTTAGATTATTTTGAAGTTATTTATGGCATCTTATATGCATATTTGGTTAAACTGATAGGGTTTTATTTATGGAGGTGGATTGTCTGCCCTTCCATTTTCATACTATCTTTATGTCCTCCTGTGATGTGTTGTCACGGTTAAACCACGTCAACATTTTATATTAATTTTTTATAGAAATAATAAAACAAAAAGTAATAAGAATATAAAATGTTGACGTGGTTTAACCGTAATCATACAAACAGAAGGACATGAGAAGAGTATGGAAATGAGAAGGCAGACAATCCACCTCTTTTATTTATTTATTTATTGGACAATACTTAGGCATTGACTGTTCAGTACCACAAGTATACTGGCTATGACTTGTCCCACTAACAAAGATACACGTGTATAATTTACATATATTAAAATTATCAGCTATTCTTGCAACCAAACATCTCTCCTCTCTGACCTCAACGATGGAGAAACACAGACCCCTTCTACACCACTTTCATGTCCTTCCCCATCAGAAGCCAAGTTTCGATCCTTCCTCTTTGTTGGCCATATGCACCATCCATCTCTTAACAACCTCTATGGCTATAGATCTCAGTACTACTTATTAATTTTTCCTTCACAAGCAATAAGGCATATTTCCAGATCAAGGATGGAGGCTACGAGGTCTCCGGCGAAGGGAGAAAAATGCTCGATCGACGGTGGGGATGGGTTTTCCTGTCTCTATGTTTGTGGGGTTAGGAATGGAATTTATCAAAGAGAATTGGAGATGAGATTGGGGTGGGGACGACAGAGATGGGGATGGTAGTGGATCCACGGGGGAGGGGATGTGGTTGGAATGGTGGTCGGAGGAGGGGTTTGCGGGATGAGATTGACGGAAATAGGTGGGGACACGGGGCCTGGGAAGACGCAAGGAAGAAGATGAGTGTTTGGTTATTGGTTTAAGATAAGTCGGGTGTTTGGTTAACAAGACAACGAGTGTTTGGCGAAAGTGTAAATGACAAGTGTTCTATTATTACTGGACCATGTAGGTTAGTGTTTTGGATACTAAACCGTCAGTACTCAAGTATTATCTTTATTTATTTATTTTAATAACCGATAGTATTAGTATGTCAAATTATTAGTTATTAAGAAAAGGAGAAATAGGTGGTGATCAACTCCGCATCAGAATATAAAAACATAATTGATTCCTGCAGTAGCTATAAATTTATAGTACTAAAAAACCAAGTTTTGAGAAAAGACAAAATCAGATAATAAAAATATCATCAATGTTTCCTCCTAAAGCTTTTTAAATACTTAAATGATGTCGATGGATCTTACATGTATTCATATTTTGATTCCTTACACAAAACCCAATTTAGTGGTATATAATTTGTTTAATTCATTTATAAAAATATTCTCTTTTTATATGTGGCTTGTAGCAATACTTATTCCACTAAAACAACTTACACTCACATAAATAGTTCAGTTGGATAAGAGTATTCGTCCATACATCTGAAGTCCTATGTTTGAATCTTCTTTTTTGTAGTTTAATGAATTTAATGTAAATTACCTATCATTTAAAAAAAAAACAAAGTAAAAAAAAAAAAAAAAAAAAAAAACAACCTACGCCCATGGTTTTAGGGGTAGTAGGAGGATCATAAATTGCTTAAAAATGATAGGGCGCAACAAGCATTCAAGATTTTAAATACATAAAAAAACGCTTTTAATTATTTGAGTTATGCAAGTCTACAACAAAAAATCAATAATGGAATTAATCATGTCCTCTTTTTTATATAATGGATGACTAATAATTGGTGTTAGATTCTCTCCTATTTTTTTAATTTTTTTTCTAAATGGAAGGAGAAAAAATCCAGAGCCCTAATAATTTCGTTAACCCTTATAATGTTTGTTGTTTGTTTAGCCGACTGGTCCCCATGGCCAGCTGCACCACTCCACAACTAAATTCCTTAGATATGAAACAAACTGTTTATTTAATTCGTTATGCAAACCGACCCGATTACAAATATGGATTGCCATGATGCCACGGCAACATCACATTCATATAATTATATGTAATTTGTTAATTTAGGTCAGACCCCGCCGCCGGGCCTTATTTGACCCACGTGCCTAAAAGTACGGTCCTTGTTATAAACAAAGAACACATACTTCTCTAGATTTTGGTGGACAATCCTAAAACATCCTCCTTGACCATAACTGGTAGCTTTCATAGCTTAATTTAATCATTTACATTATCTAATATCTGCCCTTGTAATCTTATGGGGTGTCTTTAGTTCAAAATTCAAAAACCTTCTTATTTTTCTTCATGTATATATAGGACCTTGGCCTATTTGGTACCATAACAAAGAAACACCCACAGCCTCAAGAAAAAGAAGGAACAAAAAGAAACCACAAATTTAGACACCCTTTCAATCCCAACCCACATGGAAATGGAGTCTGCTTTCTTCCAATTTTCAAGTCCTTCAGATTTCTCATCGGATTCCTCCTTCGGTTCACTAGACTCCTTTTCATGGGATGATGAATCACTACAACTTCCTTTCAATAGTCATGAGTTGATGAATTTTTCACCGTTTAGCATCAACGACTCCCAAGATACGTTGCTGCACGATGTGGTGGCCAGAAGCGCAAAACAGACATTTGTTGCACAGAACGAGGCGAACAACTTCAATAGGGTTAAAGAAGAGGAGGTGACTTCAGCCAACAGCCAAACCCTAGAAGAAAAATCCACAAAGCAGAAGGCTTATAGAGGGGTGAGGAGAAGGCCTTGGGGAAAATATGCTGCCGAAATAAGAGACTCAACAAGGAATGGAATTCGGGTTTGGCTCGGCACATTCGATAGCCCTGAGGCAGCTGCTTTAGCTTATGACCAAGCTGCATTTGCGCTGAGGGGTTCTTTGGCTGTGCTTAATTTTCCAGCACAAGTTGTCCAAGAGTCTCTTCAAGAAATCGAGTATAGACACGATGAAGCGTGCTCACCTGTCATCGCACTTAAGAGGAGGCACTCCATGAAAAGAAAGTCGATGCACAAAAAGTGTAATAAACTAGTTAGCCAATGCACGGATCAAAGAAAAGTAAATGAGGTTTTGCCACAAAATGTGATGGTATTAGAGGATTTGGGCGCTGAGTATTTGGAAGAACTTTTGGACATAAGCTCCAGTGGAAGTAATAACTGGTGTCCGCAGTAAAAAAGAATCATAATATTTATCTTTCAGATATATATATATTTTTTTAATTAATTATTATGTTAATTTTCTTTCCTTCACTTTTGACCTTCTCTTTTTTTACTCGTTAGTTTGACCTTTGGATCAAAGCTTCTAGTTAAGAGTTGAGGGGTCACGATGCGGTTTAGATCTACGGCCTTAGAGAATTCTGTTAACTAATTCCCTCCTTTGTAAAGCTGAAAGAGGCGTACTGTACAACATGTGGATTAAAATAATTTTGTGTCTCAATTATTGCAGTCTAAAATATTACGTGGAAACCTATATAATCTTAAATATTACAAATATTTGCATGGTGGCCTTAAAATATATTAATGTTGTCCTTATAGCATTACATGGAAACCTATATTATCTTAAATACTGCAAACATATACATAGTGGCCTTAAAATATATTAATTTTGTCCTTTATCTAAGTTAATGGATTAGGAAGCAAAAGTGTGAATGATCAACACCTCCTGGCCTCTAGAATCCAAAATTTTACTTCATCATTATTTTTAAAGGTCAAAGCTGACAGCTTATTCAGATATTTTTCATTTGTATTATCATTAAATTTAACATTTATAATCTGCATGTGACACCAAAATGATATCTTATTGTTTCCCACTATGTTTATATATGAATTTATTTATGCAGTTATTGTTACTTCGTGGTAACACAAACAAGCCAAAGATGTACAGAATTTTAAAAGAACCCTACTTTTAGGTGTTGATCGTTACCCTCCAACACTCAACAACTTGTGTTTCCTACACTTTGACGCTTTGCACTCAAAATATTTGACCATGTCCCACTCCCCACTATTTCATTTCGATTCGAACACATATGGGCCAAGCAGCAAATGGGAAGACATAACGTCCCAATCCAAGGAGAAAACTTTGTAGTGAGTCGTTATTGATACTTAATAAAGATACAGTGTGTACAAGAAGGAAAAAAATTTCATAAAATTTGACACACTCTTTTAATTCGAAATGTTTATGTAAAACAAAAAAAAATTGAGGTCCTCTAATTCTCCAGCATGTAATCTTATAATCATGCCAAGAAGTTATAGACATCATATTCGCTTGTGAGAGGGGTATACCTGCAAAAGACACTCTTTTAATTCGAAATGTTTATGTTATCTTCATTTGCCACTAGTGAGAGGGGTATACCTGCAAAAGACATTTTAATGTTTACAGTGCTAGTGGCTTGTTTAAATAGTTAAGAAGTAAACTTTGCTAGTTTCGCTAGTAACATAGTTGCCAGGAAGGGATCATTGAGGGTTTTCTTGGTCATACAGTACACTCGTGCAGAGCAAGGTTATATTGAATCGACAAATAGGGGATCAGACGGGGTATGTAGCGGCTAAATGAAAAAAATTTATGGTCGCCCCCATCATCTTCACCTTGTAGGAACTACGTGAACACCCCGAGGATCGATGGCTATGACATCCACGACACTGCCATTCGAACTGACTATGATAATTGGAGTTGTCAATCGATTCATAACTTTTTAAACACAGACACGCAAGGAAAAAAACCCCCACACTTTTTTATCTCCCATTAATGGCAGAGATAACATTCTAAACTACAGAGGGAGATGATAAATACGGACTTCCGTTAAGTGAACCAAAATCAGTTGGTTCTCTATTATAGTGATTTCCTTGGATCATGGAGAGCCAACTAATATTAATCTACCTTCCATTCTGTACAAACATGTCAACTAGGAAACAATTTGTATAGGTTTTAATTTAGGATCGTGTTTACTCTCTGTATTATATAAAACCCCTTTGTAACTATTCAAGGAAATTATTCAGCCAATATCACAATTAATTTACAATTTAGTAAATAAATCACACGGAAATAACAATCATAATTAAATAGAGATGGACGAAAGACTTAGAGTTGTGTATTTATCATTTTCCAATTACATGTCACAAACCGCATAAGCAACGAGACTATCATTCCCTCCGTTATTCTAATAATAAAAAGAGAGACTATCCTTCCAATACTAACTGTTATATCTTCCTTACACAAATAGTAGGAAAAAAAGTTTAAATGAAATCATACATCTTATCTGTATGTTTATCTCGATCATCGCATGATAAAGAAAGATTTTATATGCGATTGTATAACTAAGCTTTTCTCCACGATATGGAGATTGGAGAATATGTATGCATAAAGAAAATTTGTATGCAAAGAGATTTTAAAACGCACATCCATTGTTTATACACGTATTCCAGGTAATGGGCCAACGAATTTTCTTTCATCTTTATCTTATGTGCTAATTGGGTCATTAATTTTTGGGTACACTAAGACAATCCAATGCTCTATGAAGGAAGGTGAGCCTGACCAAAATCCCTATCAGCATAAAGAATGCCCAGTTCTAAATATAAACCAAACAACTTAATAAGTCAGCCAGGATGGGTTTAAAATGGGCGCAGGTGGAGAGTGATTCATCAAATTCAATTCCTGCTATTAACTTGGTGTAGGGTTGAATGGCTCTTCACTTGGTTTGATTGCTGAAGATGTTAATGCCCTTGCGGCAAGTGTGAAGAACTTAAGCTTTGCTTATGGTCCAATATCCTAATCGATAAGGTGTTGAGTTTTTACTCATACGTCACAGGCAAGATTCCTCCATTATTATACGGGATGTCCGCCTCTAAGATTATACTATGTAATCAATCAAATAAAGGCATCGCTCATTTTCAAACAAAAAAATATATATAATAAATAAAATAATAGCAGAAGAATTACTCGTGAAAAAATAATTTCATGAAGTACAACAAACAGAAACATCATGTGTTATCACTACAAAAAATCCCTTTGGCAGACAGAAAATTTTCATCAGCTAAAAGGACGATTTGTCGCTGGAAACTTTACTTGATGGAAGTTCGTCGGCATAGAATAGTCAGGCACAAATCGTCGTAGGGCCTTACACGGTGTATAAACTATTCCATTGGGTAAAAGGAAGTCAATGCGACGAAAGACATCGTCGGACGAGAGTGTATTGACCCAATTTACCTCGACGGAATCTACCTCATTGGTTAGACATAATTAAAAAATGTGGTGGGCTTTACCTGACGACACAATCGTTGAGTAAATTGTACCAAGTAAACCTTACGTGTCACATCCCGGCCCGGGATGGATCACTTCCCAGGTCCGCTCCACCACCGTAGCACGATATTGTCCGCTTTGGACTTACCATTCCCTTACGGTTTTGTTTTTGGGAACTCACGAGCAACTTCCCAGTGGGTCACCCATCATGGGATTGCTCTAGCCCCCTTCTCGCTTAACTTCGGAGTTCCTACGGAACTCGAAGCCAGTGAGCTCCCAAAAGGCCTCGTGCTAGGTAGGGATGGGAATATACATTTAAGGATCACTCCCCTGGGCGATGTGGGATGTCACAATCCACCCTCCTTAGGGGCCTGACGTCCTCGTCGGCACACCACGGCCAGGGTTAGGCTCTGATACCAAATTGACACACCCCGATCGAGATCAGGGCATGCTGGCTACATCACTTCTGCGTGACGGCCAGCATGCCCTGATCTCGATCGGGGTGTGTCATTACGACACCTCCATTCAGGTAAAAAAAATTTAAATTAAAAAAAACTTAAAACTATTAAATAATTTATTTAATTCTAAAAGTTCAAAAAACAATAATTATTACAAAAAATGGAAAAATAAAAATATTAATTTCAAAAATTTTAAAAACAAAAAGTATTTTAAAAATGGAAATATAATATTTACAACCCAAAACAAAATTGTTCGTACAAGTATAGGGGTTTACCCAACGGAGGTTCGTCGGGCAAAGGTTGTGTGAGTGGATTTTTCAAGACACGTGGGTGATTATTTGTGATGCGTCAAAAATTGGAAATGGACTTTTGACCGAATATGGGTTTACCCAATGGAGTTCAGTCTGGCAAGGCTTGTGTTGGTAGATTTTTCTAGACACATGGATGGATAGTTATGACACATCGAAAATTAAAATTGGACTTGTGACCACATAATAGTAGTTTACCCAACGGAGGTCCGTCGGGCAAAGGTTACATACTTGTAACAAGTCGAAAATTAGAATTGAACTTTTGAATGTTGACTACTAGTATCAGCCTTGAAGCATATGCAAACATATTTAAGGATTGGATCGTAAAAACTAGCTTCGTAAAATGCGTTATTGTTTTTTCTATACTTTAATTAATTAAAATGTAAAGTTTTGTGAACAAAGGCTTAGCCGTAGTTTAGAACTTTAGGATCCATTACAAAAATACTAAGAGGAAAAAAAAAAAAAAACAAATTTACATGATACCAACCAATGCCAATGCATTTGTTGGGGATTACAAAACATTTAAATTTTATTCTAACTTAAGTACAATGAAAAAAAAGGCTTAGGCATAAGATTTAGAGATTTACAAGAAAAGTTCGGTTGTGGACTCCCAAGTAAACACTTTTAAATCAAATTTCGGCTGAGCTTTAGAAATAAGGTGAAGCCTTTTGTGAAAAAAGGCTTAGCCATAGGATTTAGGGCTTTGAACCCATTACAGTGGTATCCTCTCCATGTTCTTCCACATGCAAGACATCCGATAACTTTTGTTCACCACTTTTTCGGCATTACGGTGGTATCCTCACGGTTCTTACGCATTATGGTGGTATCATCTCCATATACTCCTTAGACCTCCGACCACAACAAACATGTCTTTGTTGCTGGTGTGTTTTTCATGACATACTTAGGGACCTTGTGCAAAGTAGTGAAATGGTAGTGTTTGGGTAGTGGGAACTGGGGGTATTGAAGCAAAGAAGAAAGGGAGAAGGGAGAAAGATGAATAGGAAGGCACATAGTAGAAAGAGGAAAATGAAGGTAACGAGGAGACAAAGGAAGAAGAAGGCACTAACTTACAAATTAATGATAAGCTTTTGCCCTATGAACCGCTCAGTTAGGTAAGTAATAGGTAAACGTTGAGTAAAGGTTATCTCGATGGATATTTATCACACGTCATTACTGGACTTTTGACCACTGACAGTACACTTAGTTGACGAACCATGTTGTCAAGCGAATCCTTCCTAGCCGACCAAT